GTGTGTGTGTGTGTGTGTGTGTGTGTGTGTGTGTGTGTGTGTGTGTGTGTGTGTGTGTGTGTGTGTGTGTCTTAAGGACTGCCATGACTGCCACTGCTCAGGGACCATGCCCTGTGAGGAGTGCCAAGGAAAAGGACATGTATGTAGACTGTCGATTAATCAACCAGTATTAATAGAATAAACAATAATTGTACTTCACTTATAAACAGCAAAATAAAAACCAAAGCCAGGATATAGAATTAGAAGCCGAGGTTGTAGTAGATATCATCAAGTGAAATGTGTTTTTGTCTTTTATATTGTATAAATTGAGTTAAAGTGTATTATTTGCGTGTGTCTCTGCAGAAAGTGTGCTGGGCGTGTAATGGCAATGGTGAGACCTGCGCTACCTGTAACAATACTGGCCAAAAGAGGTACTTCAGGGGGGTCGGGGCAGGGGGGTATTTTGGCTCATGAACCTTTTAGGACCAGGTTCATGTTACCTCACATTTTTGAATAACCAAAGATGTGTCTCAACATCCCTGAACTTGGAATTCAAAGATAATATATTTCATATTTCGTAGTGGTATTATCAACACTTGATCAAGCTGCCTCAAACCTTGTGCTTCTACAATGACATTCTAGTTAATAATAAAAACATGAGCATGACCTGAGTTTTCATGGTGTTGGTTGACTCTCATGATTTGTGGTTACGCTTCCCATACTTGTCCAGTTATGCCCTGATAACATTTTAAAGAAGTGATGTGCCTAAATGCAATGAATGACTGTTGACTTGTTGTACAGATGTGTTTTTCATGAACAGTTGCATCTGTCTTAAACGCTATTATGTGTTTGTGTGTGAAGTTGTGGAGAGTGTGATGGTCGTGGCACAAAGAACTGCACAACCTGTAATGGAAAACGACAACTGCTGACATTCATCGAGCTCAAGGTGGAGTGGTGAGTACAGTTGTTCAAATGGTGCTTGAACAGGTTCTTTAGGGTCTTGCAAAGCTTCCATTGTCCATGAAGATGTTTCAGGGACCAATGAATGGGTGGAGGAAATATATTTTGGTCCTGTGATGCGTTTAAGGGGTTGCTTTGGTTTTTTGATGATAGTAACCCATGAGAAGATTCAAATTGTTATTGAACTCTTTGTGATTCAGGAACAGGGAACAACCACATGGGGAACTGAAAGACAAAGAGGCCTAGTTCACTAAACGTTAAGGGTTTTCTGGTAAAAACGCAGTTTCCCTTCTGTGAAGTGAGCTTTGCTAAAGATGAATTGATGGGGTCTTAAGAATCTCAGGGTTGTTGGAATTCCAGGTGTCCATGGAGATGGTATGATTGTCATTTTCTATATAGGCTCTTCAATAGTCCCTAAAATGGTTCAGATTGACTTTGAGGAGGTTCTCTGATAGGGTGCAACAGGACGTTACAGTAAAAGTGGTCCTGTAAGAGATTTCAGAGGCCTTTTAAGCTTCAAGGATAGTCAGTAGTCCTGGAGAGTCCATCGAGTCCTTAAGAAGGTTCAGAAGGTCCTTAAAGACATTGCAGATGTTGTTGAAGATGGTTCTTCTACAACTGGTACAACATCTGATCACAGGTCTACTGGGCTTAAAGCAGCTCACACAGAACCAGGTCCCAAGTGGACTAGGTGCCACAGTGTTGATATCATGGACAACACTGTGGCACCCTCTGGTGGCATGAAGATAATACAGCATGGTGTGAATTTAAAATGTCTACAAATCTGTTCTGTACACTGTACATGTATTTTATGAAAAAGGGGGTGAAATTATGATATTGTGTGTGTAGTATTGTTAATATATGACACTGAAAATCAAAAGCAACACTTCTTCTATTAAACAGAACAGAAATCAGCTCTATTGAAAAGTGAAAGCGTATCAACACTTTTGTCCATGTCTGTATGTGAGTACACGTACACATGTGAAAGTATTTGTTTGTCTGTGTTTAGGACTAATCATGTAGAGGACCATTTGGTCGAGCAGAGCGGTGGTCTGAAGGTCGATGATCTTCGTTCAGTTAGCGGGAAGGAGCTGTTCAAGAACAACCAGTACCTGGTACAAACACACACACACACACACACATGCACACTCACTCACGCACACATTCTTTCCTCTAAACCTAATTCTGATCCCAAAGCCAAGTCTTAACCCTCAACATGCACACACATAGTGATTCTATAGTTGTGAGACCTCCCTCGCCCCTTACGCTAATCTTAGGTTTTACAACTAAGTAACTTAATTTTACTCTTACCCTACCCCTGACCTGAACCTTATTCTACCCTTAACTGTTAAATACAGCAGGAAAAACTGATCTGTGTCCCTTTATTATGTTTCTTCAATAAATGCAGAGAACTAGTAAATAAATAAAAAAATTGTAAACCTCAGACAGCTCGCACTGTAATGTAAAATTTGTCCTGCGCTTGAGTAAAGTTAATGGGGTAATTAAAGGACATTGCAAAGGATAAATTCTATCTGTGTTATTGTCAGTATCATGTGTCTGTCTCTCTGGCTCCCCTCAGCTCTACCCACTGCTCGGGTTCCCAAACCCGGCCATCGCTGAGGCCTCCGATCGCCTGATCAAAGATCATCAGAGCAAGTACAGCCAGAACTCCAGGATCCTGCAGCAGGTAGCCCAGCAAGTCACGCAGGAGAAAACCCAAAGCTGAAACACATACCTGTGTCATCACCATTCAAATATTTAGGAGGGAGCAATGCACAGAAAAAAGTATTGTACATTATAGTGAAGTGAAAATAAGGTAGTGTCGTAAAAATGAAGTGAGAGTTTCTCTATGCTTCCTAGCTAAGCTAGGCTATCAACATCCTCACTCTTAAATAATGTACAAACACAAGATTGAAATTCATCTGAGGGTGAAAGAGAGTAAATGTTGGAACTATTCCTTTAAAATGACTCTCTCACTCTCTTTCAGAGGCAGACGGTCGAGTTGATCCCCATCACCAAGGTGAACTATAAGTGGGAAGACGACTCTCACATCTACTTTGTCTACGGCAACGAAAACCAAGTCAGCGCCGACAACTACCCAGCGACCTGCTGCTGTGTCATCCTGTAGACACACACACACACACACACACACACAGACACACACACAGACACACACACAGACCTGAACTCATCTGTTTATTCTCAATATTGTTTCTCTATTTCATATCAGCCTCTCCTTTCAGGACACGACACGATGTTTCCAGATGTAATCATCAGGGTCGCTGTCAACTCAGGTCAAACATGGGTTCAAACTTTCACAGATAAAGATACACACAGTACACACACTGACACACACATTTTTTTATTATTACATCCTTTAAAGATTGAATCAAGAAAATTATAATAATAAAACCACAGCATCCTTTTCTGACGATGCTCCACACTTTGATTGAAGATATTTATCTTGAATAGTCGTTCAAATTGACCTTTAATATAAAAATATTCCTGTTATTCCAACAATGTATTATGAAGACACCACTGCTAACATCAGTCCTCACTAACATAATGATCCCTGGGGCTGGATTTCTCTTTTTGTTTCCTGAACTTTTTGTTTCAGTTCTAACAATCAGTCTCTTACTCCGGTTTAGACATTAGTACTAGTATTTTTTACTGACTTAAAGGTCTGAATTTCTGGTATCCAAAATCAAGATTTTATTGATAACTAAAAGGAGAAATAAGTAAATCTTCCTCCTCAAAGGGCAGTATTGTCTCTGTGTGGACACCTGTACTCACCATTATTTCTGTGACATAGGGACAGCAGGTATTTTTCTGTTTACAGTTTACTTCACACATGTGCCAGTTAATGTCCTCAGGACTGAAAGGAAACCAAAATAAATGTGAGTTCTAAGGAAAATAATAAAATGTCAGGTGAAGGTTTTAATTTGACAGAGGTGAATATATTATGTGGTGTGTAATTGTATTTGGAGGAGGTGAACTGAATTACGACAAAATCTGGTTCACCTGGTTCCACCTTTTGTTTTCCTTCCATGCGTTAATGTTTCTTGAATGAAGGAACCACTTGTTCCATCACAAGCAGATCAGACATTTCCAACTCCAGGAATAAAGATCAATATTTTTTGGTTTTTCTAGAGGACTGGTCATTCCAGAAAGGAAAATTTAATTCCTTGAACTTGTCTGTGTGGCCAACATTGGGGCGAGAGGCGGGGCTCACCCTGAATTTATTTTGTTTATTTATTCAGATTGTTAGAAGACTTTAAGAATACTTTCAGAACAATTGCTTTTGGTTGACATCTAAAAACGGGTGTGTCCGAGTTCACAAAATTTGAATTTGTCCTGAGAAGTGTCACAATTTAATTTGCCTCTGTGGGTGAATTAACTTCACTCATTGATTTCATTCAAATTAATTCATTTCCCCTCAAAACTTCGCCATTTTGAAAGATTATTTTTTCATGTGAACATTTTACAGTCTAGTCACTACCTTGTCTTTCCTCTGGACAGACTGAATTACATCATTACCACTTTATACTTTACTTCAAGTGTAGAATTATATATATATATATATATATATATATATAATTCCATTTTATGGTCATCATATTCAGTTGTGTAATGATGACAAACAAAATACACCAAAGTGTTGAAACTGTATTCACAAATGTTTTTCTAAATCAAAGGCTCACCAACAATAACCTTCCATTTTAGCTGTAGTTACTGCAAAGCTCCGTTAACGCCTCCTGCTTGCTTTTCTCATTTTACTTCTCAGCCAAGCAGTTGGCAGTCTGGGTAAAAGGAAGGAGGAAGGAAGAGGGAATAATGATAGGTGTGGTCTGAATAATCTGGGAGAGTGAATGAATCTGGTTTTTCACAAATGTTGGAGAAACTTCTAATTCTGGAATGTTAAAGCAGGTTATCTCAGTGTAACACATGTCAGCAGCCGACTCTTTAATATCTTGAATGTTGTAGCTTTTGTAAACACTCTTAATCTTTATGGTACTTTGGCTTTTATTATCTCTAACTGCAGTTTACTTGCCTTCGCTCAGTACTGTTGCTAACAAAACTCTCAACTTCTACCTCTATACTGTTATTACTCATTTTATGTTACTCTTGAAAATAAACTGTTGAACTTCACCTGCTTCTGTCACATCTGTTTACCACGTCCATAGTGTGGAGCTTTAGACACCAAGTACTGTGAAACATTATAAACCATATTACTTCTACTCACTACTAGTTAAGTTTGATATCATAATAGTGTTTTAGTTGCTTTTGACAGATAAAAAATGATCACTGTCGTCACATGTGCATGTCCAGTTGTGAGTTTGAACCCCGGCTGAATAAAGATGAGTCTCATGAAACTGTGTCTGAAAGGTTAGTCAACTCAATAGACGGAAAACAAACAGGAAGGCTATAAAGCTGCAGTAATTAAAATTAAACCTGCATAAATGTTTTCTTGGCCCCTGTGGGTGCTGAGGAAACAAGCTGTGATCACAACAATGATATTCGTCACCTCTGAGGTTGATATGATGAACCAATGACTATAAATAAAGATGGATGACATGTCTCCACTCGCTCCCTGGCTGCCTGTAGTTCATCACTTTGCGTAGTTATTGAAGTCTGCTACTCGTCAAAGGTTCATCTTAAATCCCAGGCACCTCAAGCAACTCAACATGCAATAGTGTCAGAAAATAAGAGTAACTAAAAATACAAATAATTGAGTAGATTTGGCTTCACTTTTCAGGAGCTGTCAGGTGCTCCATCTTCAGATACAGTTAATGGCAGCAGCTGTTTGCCGACACGTTAGCTACACAGCTAATTCACACGCTCGTAATGCGTCAGACATGTTTCGATGTTTAATAATCAACCAAAAAAAACTGGAAGAATTCAAAATATTGGAAACCTCGAACCGCAGCGATTATAAGTGCAGTCATTTATTTCACTCAGCTAATGAAGCTCAGCTGTTTGACGTCAACTGTGCGCCACAAGTTCACTCTTTACGATGCAGATTGGTCAGATTTGTGGGTTTTGGTGATTATGTGCAAACGCTCAGACATTTTTAAGGAGTTTGTGTCAATATGACACACACACACACACACACACACACACACACACACACACACATTTGTGAAACACATCTGGCACATTCACACCCAAAAAGCATCACACTCACTCATATGAAAAGAAACCCACCACCGGCCCCGAACCCCTCCTCCGGTCCTCCCCCCCCCCGGGTCCTCCCCCTCTCGGGCGGGGCCTCGCTGCTCTGCATCACGGTGTCTGTGCTCCGCTGCTCCACACAAAGAAGAAGAAGAAGAAGACGAAGAAGAAGAAGAAGAAGAAGCACACGGCGACGCTTCCATGTGAGTCTGTTTGTTCTGCGGAGCTTTGTCGGGATTTATCACCGGATATTTACCGTGAGTGTGTGTGTGTTGACACGGTTCAGTGTGTGTGTGTGTGTGTGTGTTTGGGGGCAGCGCGGTGAAAAGTTGCCAAGAAACTTTCACCAAACTTCATTCAAACTACGCTATTTTTTTTTTACCGCTACTTGTTGTTTGTTGTTGTTGTTGTTGTTGTTTGTTGTGTAACTGGGAGAAAGTGTGAGACGATAAGAAGGAGACACGGAGAGGAGGAGAAGGAGACATGGGGAGAAGGAGGAGGAGGAGGGTTTTCTTTTTGTGGTTGATGGTTTTTCGTACTTTCTGCTTCGTCCTGGCGCTGGGCGATAACACGATATCGGTAATTATCGCAATATGGCTTTCATCATCAAAGACATAGCAAAGATTCAGTGTATATATATCGATTTCATTACTTTTGCATTGTGCAGCCACAGTGAGGAGGTCCAACACAACATCTACCTCGGATCTGTACAGTGACTGTGGTGGTGCAAGGGTTTAAAAGCACAACTTTCACTCAGCAACAAAAATTACTTTTTAAAGTTCAAATAATTAATAATCTGACATTTATCGCAATAACTGTCGATATCAACGTTCGTCAATCTTTGACGACTCCTAATTTTCGGACTACTCTAGTTTATACATCAACACATATCCTGTCCTACTTACGTGGTCTAATTTGACTGTATGTACTCCACTGTATCATAACACTTCTGTAATAGTTGGTTTACTTCTTTTTCGTGTAGTTGGCTATTGTTTTCTTCCAATTCTTAGACACAAATATTAATTTTTTTGTAGTTTATGCGATTTTATAAACCTTTATGTTTATATGATATTCTCATATAGACTGTAAACCCGCAAAACAAATGAACACAAACTATTTGAGTTTGATAGCATTACTATCAAATATGAGTATATTCTACTAATTTGAAGTAGAGTATACTTACATTTGTTAGTAATGCGGTGGGTGGATAACCTTTAAGTGAAATATACTAATATTGTTAAGTTTTGGTTGTATAAACTTGGTTTTTTCACCACACATCTTCCTCTCAAGGAGAAGCTGTATTCAGAAGTATTTCTCCTTTACTAACTGAATGTAAACATTAACTATTAACGACACAATATTACAAGAGTTGTGTGGACAAATTAATGATACTGCAAATTGTGTCATGGCCGCCACCTCTAAAATAATTCCTGAAAAGTTAAATATTTTCCTGTCAAACAAACAGTTACAGATTCAAATAACTTTATTTTAAAGAAATACAGGTGGGTTTAAAATCCTCATTATGACTTTGAGGTCAACAGATTCTCTGGAGATCAGCTGCTCTGTTTGGATCCAGTTTAATTTCAGTGTAATGTATAGTTTAGTGTTTGTTTATAACCACATATGATTCTGTGCATCTGTTGTTATTTTTGAACTCATGTAATGTATGGCAGCTATAGTAGGCTGTAGTTATCTTCCTGCAGGCCTCTTTCATTACAGCATGCCCTACAGTTTTCTGTTATAACTTAGTTTGTTGCAAATAGCTGCTCTGAGCAGCTGTTTCCTATGAAACCCTATTAAATGGTGCGTTGGCAGAACTGCCCATTTGAAGCTTCATGGTATTGTCTAGTATTTCCAACGTGTGTCAGAGATACTCTGTGGGAATTGTTGGAAATTGTGGACCTTTAATTTTCTCACATGTTGTAGAGTCACGTAGATTTCTCACATCATGTTTTACACCCAACTCACACAGGAAACACGCATGGGGTGTGCACAGGGAGTTTCAAATATAACGGCAACACAACAAATGGAGGGAGTGTGCTAGAAGACGCCCACTGAAGAACCGAAACTAGAGTTTAAATGTTCCATAAATTATCAAACCTGGTCTCTTGCAGCAGCACAGGATGTAGGGCAGCTGTCAGTTATATTTGCTGTATTTCTATATATGTTTACATGTCCTATAATGTTAGTTGGTCTTTTGGTAAATTGCTCTATAATAGTTAAATAGTGTTTGTGGAACATTGGAAACTGTGGCCTTCACATACTTCTCAGTATTGTTGTATTCTCCTATACTATGACATTATTTCAGTCTTGCATAGAACCAGTACTTTAATATTTCGACAGTGTGTTTGTTTGTGTAGATCTGACTGTGTTCTGTTGTGTTATTATCTCTCATATCTTTATTTTGTATCTGTTATCTTACTTAGAATGATGACTCCTACTTTTCTGACTTCTCTTGTTTATATATCAACACAGATTGTGTCCTACTCACATGGTCTAATTTGACTCTACTGAGTCATAACACTCCTGTTATAGTTGGTGTCCTTAGTTTACCTGTAGTTGGCTATTTATGGTGTTCTTATAATCCTTAGGAATATATATTTATGTTTTTTGTAGTTTATAAGCCTTTATGTTTATATGTTGACCTTTTTTATTGATATAGAAATATTCATCATATGAAGAATGAACTGTCTGTAATATTTGTGCATCGCTTCTTTGCTGGTGTATGTGTTCATATCCGTCCTGATGGGCTGTGTGTGGGTCTGTGTGTTTACGATATGTAGGTTGGTAGAACTGAACTAGAAAACGCATACACATAATTATAGCCAGAGACAGATTGTAAGTCAAACGTCCTCTGTATTTGGACAGATGTAATTATAGAGGCCTGATTCTAAATCTGAACTACAGAAACAGATTGTTACAGACCCGACTGAGTGTCTGTCTCAGGGCAGATTTATTTCTACAGCCCAGAATGACAGATTTCTCAGAGGTCTTCAAGATATGTCCAACATATGACAGCTTTTATCTTTCCAGCCTGAATGAACTATAGTCCTCACAATGAGGGACAAAAGGGAGAAATATCAAACGGAGCAGCAGAGGAGGGATCAGGCTTCTAGAACAGGAGAAATAAGAGACATCTTTACAGAACAGACTGTCACAGGACTCATAATATATGAAGAGATCAAATAAAGTATAACAGATATACAGAGAGGAGTAAGGGTTTGTAAACCCTATGGAATGGAAAGACCTGGCTGTCATCTTTGATTGATTAAGAAACACGATTTGGTCTTCTTATACAAACACAGTATCATAAAAGCTAAGAACTAAGAACTCATCCGATATTATCAGCCAGTAAATTAATCAGTCCGGTACAAATACCAATTAAACTAACAATGCTGGTGTTAAAACCCAATATACTCCTTAAATCCTTTGGTATCAATGACCTCAAACAAAAAAAAAAGTTTCATCATCCTTCTTGTTTGCTTTGTCAACATGTCAAGTGATTATGAAAGATTGGTAACGGCATCAGTTGCAGCAGGACAGTTTACAACACCACAGGAAACATTTGCACATTTTTGAGTTTTTTGTCATTGTCCACCTCCAGGGACAATGAGGGTCACAAGTTGAGGGTCAGGCTGAAAAGGGTGGAGACCCCTGTGTGGAGATTTGGCCTCTGACTGGGTCCGTCTGATACAGGATTTCTGAAGTCGTTGTGTTGTTTATTCACTTCAATGTTCAGGGTCGTTTCCTGAAAGTTCTTTCAGGACAATGATGGGATCATGTCCAGCGTGTCTGTCCTGTCAGGCTCTTTGATTGTCCCCTCTTACATTTCTCTCTCTTTCCAAACCCATGTAAAGAATATTATTATAATAATTATTCTTGGGCTGATGCTGTAGTCTTAACATCGAGTGTCTGTCCAACTGTGACTCAGCACAGTCTGAGCAGTGTCTTGTTTTTCCTGGACTTCCTCACTACTTAAAACTACCTCTCTTTCTTCTCTCTCTTTTCTGTGCTGCACTTGGAAGTTTCAGCCCAGCTGATTTTCCGTCCTGCTGGATTCTGGTCAGTGACTCTGGACTGTAATAAATAACCAGTATGACCAAACGTTTCAGCCGTCCTAATGGAAACTGGGCATTGAACCTGAACACCACCTCGACAGGAGCAGTGGATTGTGGCGTTTTCCTTTTTCAAGCTGATCTAAATATTATACCTGCTCAAATTTCTCAAGCTTTTCAGAGTCTACTGGATTTATTTGAGAAGTTTTTTAGAGCTGTGATGACATCTTGGGGTTTGCGGCAGTTGCAGTGATGAGGGCAAAATTCAAGCAACATGTTTTTGGTGTGAATTTATGTGTGGAAAGAAAACCCGCCAGAAATCTTTCTAGAACAAACACCCTCACAGCTGAGTGTGGAGAATGTGTGCGGTATCAATGTAGGGTTTATTGTGTATCTGCAGTCAGACAGTATCAGGACATCTTCGGGTTTGTTTTATTCTTCTAAAACTCTGAGCTGTTGCGTAGCTAAAATGATGAAAAGTGTTTTACTTTGAAAAGTTGTGTGTTAGTTTGCAGGGGCAGAGACTTTTAGAAAGAATGACGCAGTTTCTTGATTGGATTTTATCAGTCACCACACGACTTCCAGCTTTTGGCAACATGTTCCTAACACTTAAGTTCCACCTCACTGTCGGTCCAAATAAAAATCCCTGCTCTTATTACAATCACTACCATTGACTGGTCTGTTAAATCCACCGCGAGGACAGTACAAACTTGATGGTATATTTTTGTAAAAGAAAAACACAACTGCTGTACACTGTAGTCAGATAAAACTGTCTTCTGCGTCACACATTCCGTTGCTCTGATTGGTTGTGTGTTCTGCGACCACGCATTAACACCCGTTGGAAATTGAAAATTTTACTGAGAAGTTCTTGACTAATTTGCAAAAACCAACAGGTTCCATCAAAGCCAGGATAACAGGAGACTCATAAAACAACAGTTGTTTTCACTTGGCCTCAAATGACCCCCATGACGCTAATAATGAGTGGCTTGATAACGGCGCCCAGAGGTTAAATACCTGAGTCCTTTCATCAGTCAGAACCGAAGACGCTTCCGAGTTGAGAGGGGACACGTCTTCAAGTGTCCACAACCAAGTCCTGGTTGTCAGAAATACTGACCAGTTCTTGACTTTTTCCAGATGCTCATTTTGGTTGCTATAAAAAAAGTAATGGCTCTAAAATCATCAATTTAAAAACATTAAATTTAAAATGCCACCAGCCATTGTGTTGCTTTGAAGACTATTTTATAAATAAAACCCCAAACTTGACATGACAGATACCGCTAGAAGAAATTCAAGATGTTTTTTGTACTGAACTAAACTTTTAGATATTCATGGTACACATAAAATATCTTTATATTTATATGTATTCTACTTTGTAGAAGACATTTCTTCGTTTGTGAGAACGTGTTTATTGAGGTGGGAGGATGACTGAAGGGGAAAATGCAGTCAAATACAGCTGTAGGTTCCAGTCATACACTTTCATTTCCTGTTGCCTCTACTTTAAAAAAAACCCAGCAGAGACAGTCTCCTCCTTCCTCTGTGGGCGATCTGTGTAAACAGACCGAGCAGAAATTAGATTTTGTCTTCGTTTGTCTGGCAGCCCATTAGTCTACTTCTTCTCCTTCTTCTCCACTGTCTTTTTTTTTTTCCTGCTCGTCACTGTTCCCCATCTGCAGAGCAGCTGGTTTCCATCCTGGTGTCAGAGCTGAGGTCAGAGGTCACAGAGACGGACAGGATGGAGTTCAGTCACATGGTTTTTCTCAGAGCCGGGAACCATACGACCCCTAAACTTGTCATGCCCAGACCCCCCCCCCCCCCCCCCCCCCTCCAGACCCTAAAATAACATAGAGGACAGTGTGTGACTGAGCTGACAGCCGTTAACCCTCCACAACCTCCTCAGCTCTTATCTCTGTCAGACACACTGAGAGACCACAGCCATGTTTAGCAGTTATCAGCTTTTTAAACACGTGCATCTCTTTGGGCAGAGACTGTAACGACAGAGCTTGTAGTTTAAAGAAGAAGATTACTCAAAACCTATCGGACAGATTTCCACAAAACCTGGCAGACACATGGAAATTAAGAAAAAAAAAACCTAAGAACTGAGGTTTTGATGCTGATCTCGACAAAAAAGAGGGTCTAGGAATTGTTTCATGTTCTTAAATATTATGAGAGGAGTTTTAAAACTTTTTAAAAATAATTCATGGATCATGATGAATAAAATCTGACTTGTTTTAGTGACTGATATGTTGGTGAGTGTGTGGCTGGCTTGACTCAACATGGAAAATTGAAAAAAACAGAAAACAGGATCATCCCATCCTGTCTGAGTGACGACAATAAACCTTTTTTTCTAAAGCAGACATGAGCTCCAGAAAATGTCCTGAGAATTGGGCCTGGACATTTCCTGGAGTTTGTCTTTCACATATGAGGAACAGCAGGAGATTGTCTGGGTCAGCAACAGGAAAATGTTTGGAACATCCAGTGGAGGGGTAGAGCAGCAGGAGAAAGGACATGTCGTAAAAATGCCGCTGTGGAAAGTGCTTGTTTTTGTTTACAGCACATCAACAACGGCCCTCACCACCGAAAGCTCTCAAATCTCATAGTCCAAGTTGACATCTTCGCCTGTGTCTTCTATGGTTATGACGCATCTTTATCATCTTGAGATATTTGTATTCCTCTGGTGTTGCCTCCGTTGTGTGTAACACACATACTCAACACGTCCCTCGTTCGCTGGGAAGTCCCCAGACAACTTTCTACTGTTTTCTCATGTGCTCACGCTGACATTTTCTAGACGTTGCGTTTTCACACACAAACCCTGTGGAAAACATCAGTAAAATATCTGAAGCAGCTGAGAGGTCGTCTCTGTGTTAATGACAAAGAAACAATCACTCAACCTGCTTTATTGTTTTATTCTGAACTCTGAAAAGGGCTCAAAAGAAAGATCAAGTCTGTTTTTGTAAACCTGAAATAAGTTACTTCATTCCCAGAATTCCTTTTCTCTGATATTGATCTGAGGTAAAAACAACATGTAACATACTTTTTATATACCACAATATTTATGCCACATGCACTTTACTGCCTATTGCACTTCTGGTTGGATGCTAAACTGCATTTCGTTGCCCTGTACATGTACATGTGTAATGACAATAAAGTTGAATCTAATCTAATCTAATCAGTGTGGACTTTCACATCCAGACCAAATATCGAGCTGAGCTCTGCTGAGCTGATTCTGTTGAAGCCCTTTGTACCAGGACAAGTTTGCACAGTGAACGTAACAGAACACAAGTCAAACTCTGCACTAACAAGCTAATGCAGATGCTAATCCTGGAAATGTGCTTTCTTTCTGTCTCTGGAATTTCTCCTGAGCCCTTTCCCTGAGATCATTACCCTTTTACGCCCGAGGCCGGATACAGATAACTTTACAACTGTGTGTGTTTTGATGTTTTAATCAGTGCTCTGTCCTGACTTGTTCTGTTTTCCAAAGAAACAGATTTTCCAAAATCTTGTGGTCGTGAAGTTTAATAGTTTTTAGTGATATTTACACAGGAATAAAAAAACAGAGGATTCTCTGTTGCGGTGAGAAAGTTAATGGAAGTAGAAATACTTGTAATTGCAGTGATACTACGAGTAGCTGCGGTGGTATTATTCTGCTCCTGTCTCTTGTTTTCCAGACAGAGGGTTTGTTTGTGACGCTGTCGAAGGAAAAACAAATACAATCAGATCTGAGATGAAAAGACTCGGCTCATCAGCTTAAAATCAACTCTTTCAGTTTTGCATCAGACTAAATCAGTTTTATATCTCTCGACTATTGTTTTGAGAATTCAGAGAACAAACAAACACATTTCATCAATCTTTTCAAAAATCGGGACGATTTACAATAATCCCTGGAAACTTGTGACGTTATCGTTTAGAGGTAAATTTGTTTCTTTCATTTCTCTCATTGCACAATTGTAGTGTTGGACCTTGTCCTGCAAAGAGAAATAAACGTGTGACGGCTTGTACAGTTTCCCCCTTTGACTGTTTGTCTTTCAAAATGACTTTGGTGTGAACATTTCCTCTGAGCGCGGAGCACAGAGTACAAAGATGTACGACCTGACAGGGCCCCCAAAGGGAAACAATAAGCTTCTCTATCCCCACCTGGTGGCTGGCTGCAGTATAGGTCATAAACCCTGCCTCCTTCATGTAAGTGGATGGGACATGGACCAAAGATTTGGTCACATGGATCTCGAGGGTTGGGATGTGTTTAACGGTGGATGGCATAAAATGTATGAGTTTTAAAAAACAGTAAAAATACAGTTATTAAACTTCAGCTTCACATTTATGCAACCTGATGAGTGTTGAACCAAAAACAACAAAGATTATTAAATAAAACGTTGCAGCTCTCGGTTACAAAAAGATTATGAGTGATTTGGACGGTTCACACACACACACACACACACACACACACACACACACACACACACACACACACACACACACACACAGTTAGAGAGAGAGAGAGTGGTAGAGAGAGGGACAGGAGCAGAGGGAGGGCTGAAACAGGAGAAGCTGAACTGGATCCAGATCTGATTGGTATGCAGAGTCCGAGTCTGTCTGCATGGAGACATTCCTGCAGGAGGAGAGGAGAGGTGGGACAGGGGGAGGAAGAGGTGGGAGTGGGGGAGGTAGAGGAGTGGGTGCTCCAGCCATCGGCAAAAGTCAAAAACTGCACTCTTCTCTCTTTTTATTTGTTTTTCAAGATGGAGGGCGGTTTTTATGTTGTTGTTATTTCTGTATATGTCAGTCAACACCGTCATCAACCACGATGACATGTCTGCCTGGTTGTAAGCACGGCCTCATGTTGTCTGTGTTGAACTTCTCTGAGGGGGAACAGAAGCTGTGGTTTGTTTTTCTTGTGTAAACTGTTGTGTAAACTTTATATGTTGTAAAGTACTTAGGTTGTGATGAATAGCATCTCACTGGTAGTTTGTCATAAGTAGTTTACAGATGATTTGTTCATCATGAAAGGTGAAATCATGTTATTCTTGATGATGCTGATGTTGTTGTGTCTTTCTCTCTAACTCAGGAATGAATAGATCCTGCCTCCACCAATAGAGAAGCAGCGTTGCGCCCAGGTCTCAGGCTCCATGGCGATGCAACTGAGTGGAGCGAGGACAGAAGAGTGGACGATGTCCAGATGACACAGTCTAACTGTGCCGACTTAGCAGGATGAACAGCTGATTGACCTCACGTCCTTCCTCCCGTCGTTGCCCACCTATCGTCCGAGCAGCCATGTTGCTGAGGAGGAAGCTGTGCGTTGCTTTGCTGATCGCCGCCATCCTCTTCCTCATGCTGGCCAGTCAGACCATCCAGAGGAGACACTTCCTGCCTCTGTCTTTGTCTCTGCCCACCTTCCAGGCCATGCACGCCAGCTCGGAGACAGGTGAGGAGCTGATGTCATGGTCACTACTGAAAATGTGTTTTTCTACATTGTACTTAATCACAGGGGTTTTCATTTTTCGGTGAACTATCCCTTTAACATCAGAGGAAAAAGAAATTGGTTTGAATTTCTGCCTCTGGGCAGTTGCTTGCTTTTCCTGAATGGTAATCCAGCTAGTACTAGTAGTATTATTATTTGTAGTAGTTGTAATGGTAGTGTTGCAATTGTACCATAAAGATGTTAACAGTGTTAGCGTATCTCCCACGATGCACTGTTCTCTGACTCAGTTTGTTTGTATTTGCAGTGGTTGACTTTGCAGCGCCTCCTGCTGACCTGAACCCTGACCCACCAGTGACACCCCCTCCTCCCAGAAACCCCCCACCTAAGTCCAAGGAGGAGCCTGCAGTCGACTCCCAGAAAGTCCCGAGGTAGATGCAGGAAATCCTGGACTCCTTTTATCCCACAATTTCCTGCTCTGCTCTTTCTGACTCTGCTTTCTCTTCCTCTTTCAGGTCCTGTGGTTGTTCTGAGTCCTGTATTTCAGACCCCGGGGCGTCGGGCTGGTTCAGCCAGCGCTACGATGTGAAACAACAGCCGGTCCTCCATGACGCCAACGACAACCTGGACCCGGAGGCGCTCAAATGGTGGCTGGTGAGGACAAAACACAGGAGCCGTTTATGATTTCTGTGCCGGAAAGATGATTTAAATTGAAATAAAAGTGTAAAGATAGCTCCATAAAGTGAATCCAAAATGTCTTAATCGCCCCCTGGTGGCTGGCTGCAGTAGAAGTTAAGAATTCTGCGTCCTCCATGTTGGCAAATGGGACATGGACCAAAATAACAAGTCAAAGTACATGCCAAATACATTTTTATTTAATTTCTGTCATGCTAAGTCATTCTTTTGATGTTTGCTCAAGTGCTCGTGTCTCTGATAAGTTTGGTTTGAATTTGTCATTTGATGATATAAAGACAGAGCGAGACGTCCTGATTGACAGCTGAGACATTTAGGCTTTATCTCTGGATAGAGCGAGGCACATAGAGAGATAGTTTATCTCGTCTTTCTTTACGTACAGACGTGTTACATTCCATAAAGTTAAGCCTTCGTAATAAAGGTCGTTCTTTGCAGCAGCGACTTGGTCCAAGCGAATTCACTTCAGTTAATTAAACAACCGCGGATGTTTAATTAATCTACATGAAGTGAATCAGTTTGCAGGCAAAGTGTGAGATTTTATTATGCACAGCTTAAGTATCCAAGATCAATTCATCACTGTTTGTTTAAATCATATATATGCCAATATTCCTTTTATCGAGATCATTTTAAACAACATCAACGGTTAAACTGCAGATAACGCTCACATCAACATTGATCTTTCTCATGAACAGTTTATTAAATCACATTTTTTATATGATGCTGAATACGATTTTCAGATGTCGCTCTTTTATCTTTCTTCATTAACTAATGGTGGTTTTTGTGTAAAGTGATAACAAACAGAATGTGAGTCTTAATCGATGAATTAGCAGAATCACAGATAGAAGATTTGTTATTAAAAAAACATATAAGGATGTGTAATAGAGTTTAAGTCATTAGTTCAATCACCAGGGTTTTCAATGCAGAGCTGTGTTTTAATGAAAGCTGAAATGTAAGAGGTCCTAAATTAGTGGCTGTGGAAGCTGTCGACAGTTTGGACGAGGAGAACGTCTGAGTCGGTGTCCTGCACTTATAGATTAAGTCCTGCAGCAGAAACCATTAGTAGATTAAAAGGAGGGGGCGGTAATGCTGCTAACATCGGTCTGATCCACAGTATGCAGTATTCTGCATATTCTGTGTGTGTGTGAGATGCAGTAAAATCCAGTAAAATTTGATATGAATGCAGAGAATATGAACATTATGAGTTAAAAACATACACAGCTGCTGCGGCTAAATTGTAGATGTAAAAATGTAGAGCTGCATATAACTTTTATTATATTATACAATTTACAGATTATTTTAATGAATCTATGAACCTGTCTTTTAAAAATTCAACTTACTTCAATAGAAAACCAGTAACTATTCAGTTATCAAATTAAATCCAAAAAGTTGCAGAGTAATATTAAAATAATTACATTTTGTTTGAATTGGTACCAAATATCAGTCTGTTAAACATCTGACTTTCAGATTTCTTTTTTCATCCAGATCCATGAATTATTTTTTGGGAAAATTGGCAAAATTATCAAAACACTCACATCTCACAACGTTAAAACAAAAGAAAAGAAACATTTCCTGTTTTTTTTCTTTGCCAATGACCCATCCTTTAACCAAGTTTTATTGAAATCCATTTTAATCGTTTCTACGTAATCCTGCGAACAAACAAACTGACTTGACAAACAACTTTCTTGACCAAAGTAACAACACAGAGCATTAAACAAAATACTTCTGAAAACTTCTGGAGCTGATGGAAAGTGTATTTTTTCACATTTATGGAGCTGGTTTTGCGACTTGCTGATATAAAAGTTAAATAGAGTCAGAGTGAAAAATAATGAGATATGCTTTGCTCCTCCACAGGGTCTTCAACGGTCTGGTAACTCCCGAACTCTACAGGAAGTGATATCAGAGATGTTCAAGGTCATTTCTCCACCCACCGTGGACTTCAAGCCCCTCCCCTCACTCTGCCGTAGTTGTGCGGTGGTCGGCAACTCTGGCAACCTGCGACAGTCCGGACACGGCAACCTGATCAACTCCCACAACTCTGTGATCCGGTACATTTGAACACACATTCAAACACACGCACCTCATACGTTTACCCTCTCCTCATCTTCGTCGCCTCATCTTCCTCTTTTTCAGGATGAACAAGGCAGTGACTCGAGGGTTCGAGAAAGATGTTGGGAATCGGACGACGCATCACCTCCTGTACCCAGAGAGCGCGGTGGACATGGCGCAAGGAGAGAGCCTCGTCCTGCTGCCGTTTAAACTGAGAGACCTCGAGTGGCTGACCAGCGCCTTGTCCACCGGCCAGGTCAAAATGTACGAACATTTAATCTACTCCAACTACTCTAGAAAATATAAACAGTAATAAATAGAGTGTATTAAAGACACATATTCACAAATGATCATTTACAATTAACACAAATACATGAATATTGACATGAAACACTCATATCAGGCAAATTAAAATGTATCATTCATATATAATATTTATGCTCCACACACATATCAAAATTACTCAATGTATATTCTCACAGATGTATTAACATATATATATATAATTCACTTATGAGCTTATATGTCGCAGAATCTTAATTTGTGCAGTATATTTACAGTCATACACAGTTAATATACAGAACATATTTTTATGTGTTTATGTTTAAGTTTTTTATTCAGACAAAACAAAATGTAACTTACACAAACTGTGTGTGTCTGTTTGTGTGTGTTTGTTCAGGACCTACATGAGGGTTAAAGAAAGAGTGGAGGCTGATAAAGACAAGGTAAAGTAAATACTCTCTCCACATCCCACTGTTCATCATGTTCGCTTTGACTCATTTAAAAGGATTTTGCAAAATGTGAGATTTGTAATTTAGACAGAATCTAAATCTCTACGGCTTCGTAAAAAACAGATCTGTCCGCATTCTGTCAATAAATTTGAATCATGTTCTGAAACACAGTTCTGTCTTCAGGTGTTTATCAAGATTGAAAAATGGTCTGAGAGCAAATCTTACAAATAATTTGCCGCGATGTGTGTGAGCAGGTTCTGGTGATGAACCCGGTGTTCTTTAAATACATCCACGATCACTGGACCGAGCATAACGGTCGTTACCCCTCCACGGGGATGCTGGCCATCATCTTCGCTCTGCACACCTGTGACCAGGTAGGAGGGACGAGTCCAAACCTTCAATTCATCTGTTTTCAATATTTGATCCTTAAGTGTCCGGAGAAAACTAGAATTGAAAGAACATAATAACATTTATCATCCATTTCATCTGAATGCACAGACACAGGATGTTCAGTGAAAGTTCCTCGTGTTTCAGTTCCTCATGTTTCAGTTCCTCATGTTTCAGTTCCTCATGTCGTGGCTTCTTCTCTTCTGTGTTCAGGTGTCAGTGTTTGGTTATGGTGCAGACAAACTGGGGAACTGGCATCACTACTGGGAAGAGAACCGTGATGCTGGAGCCTTCAGGAAGACCGGCGTCCACAGCGCCGACTTCGAGATCCAGGTCATTCACCAGCTCGCCAAGGAAGGAAAGATCCGTCTGCACCAGTGACACGACCCACGACCGACCTGCTGACCGACAGACTGGCCTGACTCCAGAGATTTACTGTCGGACCCATCAACCTGCAGAGTGATGTGCTTCCCGACCACGGACCGGCAGACCAGTGAACTGAACACCAGACCTGACCTGCACACAAGCTGCTTTCAGACATGCCCTGGAACTCTGGACAAATAGAATTTGTTTCGCTCGTAAAACACACAAATCGTTCTTCAGTCACAAACTGGCAAGTGGGCGCGTTACACTTCTAACAAGTAAGTGACGCAAAACGAAAAAAAACGCTAGGCATAAAAATCTATCTCGGAAAGAAGCCAAACTCGTAGAAGATGAAGAAAATTGAAAAGAAAACGAGATGCGAGATGTTTAGGCGATAAAAACAATGCTGACGATTTTCTGCTGGAAATAAAAACTTTGTGATTTCCGCAGCAGAATTTAAAAACCCAATTTTCCGAACATTGTCCAGAGCTCATGTCTGAAAGCGGCTCTCCAACCAGACCTACTGACAGACTCACAGACTAATGGACAGACATCGGGCGTCCAGCTTTTCCAGACTGAGGCCAGATGTTTTAGATCTGGAGATAAACTGTGGACGGAGTTAAACCTGCCTCCTCCAGCTGCTGGTGGTGGTGGAGAAGGTGGGGGCTTGGATCTCTGCTGGGTTAAATGAGTTCCAGCTTCACTAGAACAGACAGTTTTTCGGGACCCTCCACTCGTCATACATGCGTCTGCGGCTGCGTGGATCGACCACACACGCTTTGCTCTGAGTCGGGAAACAACCACAGACTTTAATCTTTTTTTATTGGATTTTATAGACGTTATACAGGGAGAACCTCTTTTTTTAATCAAAGCACTTTGTCATGAAGAAGTAAAGGCGGAGGAGGCCGTGTTGTTTCGCCTCTGTCCGACCAAGAGAAGACCTTTTTTTTTTTTTTTTATATCATTTATTATCCATCCATTTATTTTCATTTTGTCGGAAGCCGTCCTGGCGCGGAGGATCCGGACAGACTGGAACGTTTGGATCCTAAAGCAACGTCACTTCCTGTCGTCACCGTATATGATGGTTCTCTCAGCCTGTGGTTCTGATTGTTAAACTGCAGTCGGCAGGTTTTCCGGAGCAGGAATGTTTTTTTAAGGAACAGTCCAACATTTAGTGATAATCATTTTCTAATCTCAGTTTTCTGCGAAGTAATAAGACTAACTGTAGAGAGCTGTGACTTTGTGAACGTGTCCCAGAGGCACGTGACAAAGCTGAGGAGACGACGATTCACTAAAGATTTATCAAATAAAACGTAACGAGGACAAAGTCAAACAATCAGTAGCCGGTTCCAGTGAGTGCGGATGCAGTGCAATGTACTTTCAAAGAAGAAAAATCTGAAGTCCAACCAAAAACAACCAACACATGAATGAAGAAGGACGAAGCAGTCCAGCAAGTAGCAGAGGAGTCGGTCACCTGACTGCTGCACCTCCTCCTCGCAGGAGTTCCCAGCATGCAGAGCGGTGGCCCGTCGCCTCTACTGTGAATGTACAAAAAATATTATCAGTCGTCTAAATGTTTGTGGCTTTGTTTGCACTATGAAGAGTTTCAGGCCGTTTTCACACCGAGTTTGATTCTGAATCAGCGAATGTTCGTCTCAGACACAGTCGAGTTAAGGCACCGTCACACACACGCGAATATTTCAGAGGCTTCTACCGTCCACTTCAGATCTGTGACAGCGAGGAGACGATTCAAACATTTGCTTCCTGTCACAAATCGCAGCACGGCAATATATATATGTATATATATATATATATAACTCTCGTATGTGTGACGGGGCGTTTAAGCGTTGGGTTGCATTATAGTCTGTTTATAAACGGACGACATGTCACAAGATGTTTTAGACTTATTTCAAGTTCGGTTTTAATTATTTGATGTTGACGCCACAATCACCACTGTGCAGATGCAGTCTCCAAATTATGTCACTCGTCCGATGGGCGGGGCCTGTATCCAGGATGTTTTAGCAGGAGGATCTTTATTTACAATCTGTGAGTTAAACATTGAAGTTAGCATGTAGGACAAAGATAGTTAGCTGCATTTAATTTGGTCTCAAGACTTAAATCTGTTAAATGCTGCATCCATCCATCTTTTAATGTAAATGTCAAATGTTTCTTCATTGTGTTTTCTTTGTGCAAAATCAAATGTTCACAAAGATATTTAACTTTGCTGCTCGTGCTGTTCAATCATGCAGCTGCTCGTCTCTGGTGTTACGTTTGTGCCGCAACCGAAAATTCTAAGAATTGTGATTGGCTGTTTGGTGTCACGAGGAGAACAAAAGCTTGTGTGAGTGAAACTGCATGAGAGGTGAGTTATCATTGCACGTTAATATGGATAACGGTAAACATGCAAATTGTTTCATTTAAATTTTTTATGTTTATCTTTAAAATGTAATTTATTTGGTTGCAAAATGTATTTTTCTGAGCTTGAAATCTCAAACAGCTGGTTCAGGAGTGAGGCACGAATATAACACCAGACGACCAAACGACTCTAAAGTCACCGTACTGCTTTTAATGGTTTAATTTCTGATTCATGGGAAACTATCAAACCATCTAATTATCGTGCTAACAACATTTCTCATGGTGATGTTTTTATGACACATAGGTTTCTGACTTATTGAATTTCAGATCAACTCATTGACAAGTTATTTTTTTGTTTATTTTTTATCCTCACTGAGATTGTCTTCTCCTCTGATTCAGACAAACCACCAGTGAGAAATCGCCTCAGAGACGTTCAGTAAAGATCGTTCTGCTTCAAACAGAGTTAGAGTCCGCTTACACTCAGTGGCCGTTTCCAGCCGTCAGAAACTTGCACCTTGTTTGACGCCGACTGAGGCCTTATCAATAATCATGAATGCTGAATCATCACCTGGGGGCTGCTGCTCTGTCGTTAGCTCGGCTGCGGTGAAGAGTGCAGTCTGAGTTCAATCCTTTTTTCCATGTTTCTTAGAACTGACCTGTGTAATCAGACGCTGTGGTTCAGCTTAGTTCAGCCACTAAAGACTAAGCAGCAGCGCTCCGGCTTCCTGAGCTGGATTTAACATCTGGAAGTGAAGTTTCATGGGATTTGCAGTTGTTGTTGAAATATTTACTTCCTCACACTTAGAAAAAATCCAGTTCTATTCCAAAGTTGTGCTTGTTAGAATCCCTGCGGTCTGGAAATGCTCCATCAGGGACGTGCAGATCAACCAATCAGCCGCTTGTGCTTTTTTTTTTTTTTTTCAGAGTGACGTCCACTGACCAAACAACATGTATGTGTCATGTATGTTCAGTTACCATAGCTTTAATTCACTGTGTTTAAACTGTGACTGTTTGATAAAAGAAAAGAAAGTCAGATTCATTTAAAAAGCAAACCTACTGATTATCACTTCATTTATTCGTTCGTTCGTTCATAGAAGACAAACAGACAGAAGCACTGATATTTCAACTAAAGACAGAAGACAACATGAACCCACCACTGTCACTTTGAATGAAATAAAATATATAAAAACATTGTTTATGTTTTTTTTAATCAAAAAACCTAAGAATCAAACCCGATGCTTCACATATACATGTCGGTGGATTTTTTTTTATTTGGGCCTATTGGAGAAAGAAAAATTGTGAGATTTCGAGAACAAAGTTTTTTACGAGAAAAGTTCTAATATTCTGACATTATTGAAATGATGACTTTTCTCATCAAATAATAAAATTTTTCTTGTTATATTTTGACATTATTCTTGTAAAATTTGTCAAATTAAATTTAAGTTAATACATTTTTGTCTTTAAATTATGACTATTCTGTTTTTCTCATAAAATTTTGACTCTTTTCTTGTTAAATTCCATTTTTAAAAACTTTTTTCTAGTTGAATTCTGTATTTATTTTCATAACATTATGACTTTTGTTCTCATAAATCAAAAACTTTTTGTCCTGTTAAATTAAAACTTGTTTCTCATTAAATTACAACTTCATCCTGACTTTATGACATAATATTCCGACGTTATTCTCGAAATCTCTTTTTCCCCAACTCCCCCCCTCATTCCACATTATTACATTACACTGAACTGTGCTTTTTTTTTCACCAAACCGTTCATTTATAACAAAGTCAGTGTTTCCTGCTACATCTAAGTTTCATGATATAAAAAATGTTGTCACAAGTTTCTTGTTGATTCGTGAATATTTGGTTCGTAGTGATAAGAAAATAAGAGCTGAAGTGAAACCAGATTGATTCTAACTATTTAAAATAAGTAAAAATTCTGCCTTGAACAGGTTTTCTCAACAGTCCGTCACGTAACTTGCTTCATATGTTTGGAACCTTTTTGATAAAACATCTAATGTCATTGTTTATTCAATATTTATGCTTTAGCTGCCTTTTATGAACATTTCCCATAAGCCCTTGACGTTCATGGGTTGACTGTCAGAGAAATGAATTCATGAGTGACCACAGACTGAATCTCAAGATGGTCGACATGTCCACTTCTTAAAGTGAAGCCAAGTCACTGTGATCGCCCCCTGGTGGCAGCAGAACTGCTCAACTCTCCAACACCGTGAACAATGTTAATATGAGAAATTTCCATCTTTTAACAAGAAACTGGATTTGATTTTTGTAATGGTGGTTTTGTGCTGTGCTACTTTCACACTGAGGTGTTGTGATATCTCGGGACATCGAAGGCAGCTGGAAGAATCAAAGTGAATCCATGGTAACGGCTAAACGAGGTGAAATCCTGCTCCGGAAACCGACTTCACCTGAATTTACAACAAACATCTGCTTTTCATCCTTTGGTCTTCAGTGTCATTCTTCAGATCTGGTTCCAGTAAAGAACGCAGCCTCTCAGGTTCTGTCTGTACGAAGAGCCGAGGCCTGAGAGGAGCCCGAAGCTGCTACAGGGTCAAAGACCTAAAATAACTTCAAACTGTCGCTCAGATGAACTTCAGAAGAAAAGTCCAGTGGATTTTTGTGTCCATGTGCTTAGTAAAATATTAGTTTACTTAAATAAATTAATAAAAGTTACAGACAACCTTGAATTGTGGCTGATTAGTCTGTGCGAGGCCGTCTCCATGTGATTGTGTGTGCTGGAGCTTCTCAGAACCAGATCACCAATCTGGTCCATCGAAGAACAGAGGTTTTGGCTGTAGCTCGGTACAGATCTGGTTTGGCTCCGGTTTAGTTCCGGTTTGGCTCCGGTTTGGTTCCGGTTTGGTTCTCCAGGCTCTGATGTGGTTCAGTTCTGTGCTGGTCCAGGAACCGATGGGGTCCAGTCCTGGTCCAGCTTCTTCATGTCATTCTGAGAGCAGCTGGACGAAGGAAGACGGAAACAATCCTCTCTGGTCTGGTTCATCCTCTATGTAACCATGCTGCACACACACACACACACACAAACACACACACAAACACAAACACACACATATTAATCAAGAACAAGAACAAACAGGGATGGAAAGTTGAAATGTCAAAAAAAAAAAATATTGAGAATAAAGTAGAAATTGTGAGAAAACAATTTGAAATGTTTTGAAAAAAGTTGAAATGTTGAGACCAAAGAGGAAATGGTGAGAATAAATAATAATTCTTGACATTTTTTTTCACAATTCAACTTTTTCTCAACATTTAAACTTTTTTCTCAACATTTCTCAAGAATGAATTTATAACTTAAGTTGAAATATCGATTAAACAGTTAAACTAAATGATAAAATCAACATTTCGACTTAATTCTTGTCCAATCTTTTATCAGAAGAGTGAACTCAACAACAGCTGAGGCTACATCACAAGAGCTCTCTGTCCCTCCAGTGGGAGAACCAATCAGAGCGTAGGATGATGATACATACCCACCAATCAGCGTCCTCCTGGCCCAGGACCACCAGCACCTGACCCTCAGCGAAGCTCAGCTCATCATGGTGGTCGGCCTGACAGTCGTACAGAGCCTGAGCACGTCGACTGGCTGTGCCTCGAGGCTGAAGGACACCAGAGAGTAACACTCGAAATGTTCCTACTACTGAAATCAATGATGAATATTGGTATTTGTTTGTTTTGGTATTTATAGAGAAACGATTGTCGCTGTCATGTGACTCTGCGACTGGAGCCCATACGTGATTCGTCAAATTAACAAGAAGCGATGGGACAGAGCAGAATCTGTAATGTTCTGTAATTTAATGTCAATAAACCCTTCATGAGGTTTTTTTATCAACTCACCACGGATCTGCGAGGGAGCGGCATGGGGGCGGGGCCTCTGCTGTCACTCTCAAAGCTCTGAGAACGCTGGTTGGTGGGAGATCCGTTGGGCGGAGCTTTACTGGCAGGGTGCAGGAAGTGGGAGGAGCTACCGTCGCTGTCCGCCCTCCGGAAACCTCAGAGAGGAAATAGTAGATTATTGTTACCATGACAACATGAAGTTGTTTTCAGGGTCACGTTGACAGAAAGATAATTAACTGTGAAAGATGTTTATGGACATTTTTACAATAGCAAAAAAATAAGATTATAATATTTATCATAAAATAATTCACTGTGTAATTGTTTGGTGTGTAAATTGTTTGTTTGTTTTTGTGGCTGAAAACTAAAAGATAAATTATGAATACATTTACATTTTACATTTGAGTAGGTGATTGGATTAAAAACTGAAACTTTAGGATCTTGTTATCTCTTGTTCCTCCACCGATCCCCGGACCTTCACTGAGTTCATTTACACGTGATGGATTCAACAGATGAACAGATAAAACAGATGTGGATGTGACAGGAAACAGCTGGAAGTTACAGGACAGGAAGTACCTGCTCGATGAGGTCGTTCAGTCAACGAGCCGAGAGGAGAAGATGGACTGCAGAGAGAGAGACATTTTAAAAAATCACATCTGTAATTCATCCTCTGTCCACCAGAGGACAGTACAGTCTGAGTTTTGTCTTTAGCTTGAGTTAATTAAAATTGAATGTAAAACATTACATTTTTAATGTTGTTGCAGCTCATCGCTGAATCACCACCATGTTGGTTTGTTTATCTGCTACTGAAACGTCCATATTTCAAAATTAAATTCTGTTTAAATTTCAAGGACACAGAGATTATCCTTCATGTCTACATCTCATCATGTAAAGAGAATAGATGAGTTGATCCCTCGCTCCTGTTCCAGAATCCATCTGCCATCCATCTCTACATCTGCTCGTACCCTCAGCTCCTCGGGCAGAGAACTGTTGTCTGTCCCAGAAACCTGGTTGAAAACTAGAGGGGACAGAGCCTCTCAGGGCCCGGAGGCTCTGGAAGAACCTGCCTGGGGACATCATGTGGGCAGACTCCGACTCTTTTTAAAGATGAAAAATAGGAACGAGGAGATAAAGGGCAAGTTGAACCTGTGCTGGTTGCAGAGCAGCCAAAACCTAAACCCCTCTTTAGATAAATGATCCGAGACCCTTCCCTGATTTTATTTAAATATTCTTTGAACTTGCTTTGAACTTTATGGACTATTGTCTTTTAAATCTGATGATGATCTCACATGGAGACTGTTGGACCTGAGAAGGTCTCAA